TTACACTTGATAATTCAACCTTAGAGTCTTAAATCTCTTAACACATTAAGATAATGCCAACCAGCATATCATCCTGAAAATTATAAACATATAATGTATTAAGTTCAATAGAATTCCGAAATTTATAATCAATTAGTTCTAAAACATTATCACATCTCTCAATATTATTTATAATAAAAACTTTTCATTATTTATATTGTTATATTTTCATAAATATATAAATTATTATTGATTTTCTAATACTGCTCTTTCAGCACAGCGAATAATACAAGCAAAGAAAAACAAAAATATTTTCTCGAATTTGTAATTTGTCATATTTTCCAACCTTTAAATAATGTATACAGTTCAATAATATTATTTATTTCTAAATTAATTTTCACCGTTTATCAAATGTAACCTTAAATAATTTACTAAAACAATATATTTATGATAAACTTTTAAATTAGGCAACAGAATTAATTAAATTAAACATAACAGCAAAAGATTATTTACATCTTTATAAACGAAAAATTTTGTTCTCTTGTACCAATTATACGTAGTAAAATAGTAACGTAAGAATTGTTTTCGTCTTACAACTTCTATTTCAGACAGTTTTCATCATGTAGTATAACCAAAGATTAGCGACAAAATCCAGAGATTCCAGAGCGTCCCTTCGACATCGACAAACCGTAACTTTCTTCTCTTCTGTTAACCTGTATCTGTATCATTCCATCATTGTTTCCTCGTGCGCGGGAAAATATATATGTACAGTGATGTTCAAGTTTCTGTAAGACTGTCAGGCCACAGCGCGCTCCGTTAGCGAAAATAAGAGTAGACATTCCTTTTCTCTGACGATTGGCTGAGACAGATTCACGCGGGTTGGATGTGCACTAAAATGATGAAAATGCTTACAAAAGCTATGGAAAGTAGAAAAATCGTGCAAATCCAAAGATATTACCTTAGAGTATATATATACTCTAAAGATATTACTATATTGTAATGTCATCGGAATCTAAATCACCGCTATTTTAATAGTCCTCATCGCCATGATAGCGCGCATTATTCGAATAGCAAATAGCATGAGAACTGTTATTATTGTAACAACGATAAAAATGTATCTAGCCAACGAAACGGCAAAGTTATGATTAGACGGTATCTGAAATCAAATTCATAAATTTTAGATCGCCGGCCGATCACCTCGTTTTTACTTGTGTCATCTGGGTCGGTGTATAAGAATACTAGCGCGACGTTAGTTTTTGTACAGAGTCGAGCTCAACGTCGGCCCAGATACGACTCGTACTAGTACACATGTCTCCTGTTTGTATCGTCGCGATGTATTTGTCCTTCCAATAATCCCAATATCAAATCCGTTACCTATTTTCCGTTGTTTCTCATGCAGCGCTGTTCGTTAAGGCATTGCCCTAATACATTGCAACGAACGTTCAGTGTTGCTTAGTCCTTCCAATATTCAAAACCCCCACTCCTTTTTCTTTCCTAATCGATGGCCCACGACAATATAAATAGGTCCGCACATGGCGATCGAACTTGTTACGCTTGTAATTCTTCTACGCTTGCAGTCTAGTGTCGCTTTAATCTATTGCGCTTGTAAACTTCGCTACAGCTTTGTACATAGTCATAAATCGATCGCTTGATCGTATCATTCGTGAGCTTCACGAACATCATTACATTTCATTATTCTATTGTACATATATATTTAGTTTTTTACAGTACAGTCCACTATCCAACCTTTTCATCCTTTTAATATATCTAGAGTTCTCAATAGACAGTTACTCGAGTAGGAAATATAATAGAAAGGAATGCCAGAGCTGCAAACAATAAAGTAGCAGAAACACTTCAAATGGAAATAGGACCCCTTAGCTAAAAATCAGCAAAGAAAGCAGGTATGTAGGAAGACAGCATTACGACTTTCTTCAAAAGCCTGGGAGTCTTCAATAGGCCTTCATTGGAGAAAATGAGCAGCGACATTCAAGCTCGTGTCACGTAACATACACGTACACATTCCGCACCGCTTTCCCTTGGACCCCTTACAGAAGACCTTACGCACCGAGGGTGGGAACTACCATGGTCCCACCAATCAACGCACCCTGAGACCGGAGGTTACATGGGAGGAGCAGAGGAAGAGTGCAATCACCCGATTCTCGCTGCATTGTGATCTGATCTAATTAAGTCATACCGTAATAACCATACCGTTTTTCTGTTATCTTTTAAACACGTTCGGGAGTTCAATACTTGAATACTTACCGTGAAATTATTATTATATGGCCTAATTACTATATGGTATACGTATATGATCTAAGCCTTGCAGCGCTTGGAACACGATGAAGGGTAACTTATATTAACGTTTCGCATTTTCGCTTTTGTTATTGTTAACGTCCCATTTTTATGTCAAGGTTCAATTCTTGAACGTTTTTCTTCCTCTCTAAGTAAGCGCTTGTATCTCCACATTTTACTGCGCATCCATCCGCAATGAATCCTGTCGTATAGCATTGAATTATTAGACAATCAGAATAAAGAAATTTCTATCCCCATCTTCAACTTCCTGACAAACCGTTACGGCCCAGAATTGGAGCTAGTATTGTATTGTTCTGTAATACTGAAACTTCTCTTTACATTTTCCTTAAACATTTTGAAAAGATATATTTAAATGCGGAAGGAATTAACACATTGTTTTCAATCAGAAAGCTACAACTCTATATGCGACTTTTGGAGCACTGTTTTAACTGCCATCTATGCTAGCAACAAACTTGTACCAACTAAAATTCAATATGATTGCCCATCCGCATGTGCATCTGAAAATGCTTACGTTAGTATTGTGCACATTTTTCTAATAATATTTCAATTTTGTTCTGACAGGATCTCTGCTTCCAATGAATAATGTACAAATGTAAGTAAACACGTTACTGAAATTTAATTTCGTTTTGTCGTCTCATACAAAAGTATTTATAATTATATTACAAAATGTAAATTAAATTGTTATTTGTTTATGTAACTATGTTAATTGATCCAATTATTTTTGAAAAGCTTACTTTTGAATTTTTTATTGTTTATTTTATGATTTATTCATTTTGAAGCTAAAATTTGAATTCAATTAATCTTGTTTAAAATCAAACTTCATTTTTCAAGTTTTTATTATATTAAATATGGTGGAATAAAATGTTATATGAAAATAGAAAATAATAATGTCTCTATGAGCAATAATTAATTTGTAATACTTATAACACATAATACATATCAAAAGGCTTCATTATATTACAACACTGATACAACATAGTTCAATATGAGGTATCCACTCCATTGTTCAGTGAAGAGAAAGAAGGGTATGAATTTGATGCTATCAAGGCTTTACCTGTCAGTCAAGCTCAGAGCCGGAGATCAGTTGCAAGAAAAATGGTATGAAAAGAATAAGTCTGACAATAAATCTCTGCACCTTAATTCAAAAATAATGATGGTTCTCATTCGAACCTCCTCTAACTCGAAGTTTCAGAGTTCAGGATTCAAGCCAATCCTTGGAGATTTCACAGACTCAATTGGGTCCATGTGAGTGTCTGTCAAGAGGATCTGATATAGAGATGGTTTCAGAGACTTCAGAACCTCTTGTCGACAAAGCCCATATGATACATATCCATCAAGTTAAGATTACTAACTAGTAGCCCCTCATTTTTTGTCAAAGCTATTGAAGCTTTGGGATTGTCATCCCAACATTCAAGTTACTTCATTCCGGGAGGAGCATGAACTAATTGTCCAAGAATTTGTGCGTACAACTGTTTGTAGAGGAAATACTGCACTAAGAGATGCTTTTCTTAAATCTCGTGAGAATATAGGAACTTTTGTCTCCAGAATGACTCTTGTAAAGAGAGAACAATCTGGAAAGGATTCATTCGAAAAACTGCTCGACTCATTGATGTCTACTAATAAGGTTGTGGACAACAAGTGTGCATGTTTGCAACTCAGATCACCGAGGCTTCTAGGGCAATTAATGAAAGTGTGAAAGCTGTTGAAAGTCTACAGCTGAGTTCTGTCAAGACTTCCGCCAACTCCTGTGATGTTCTTTGCCCATGTGAACCGTCTAATCATGTCAGTGTTGTTATCATCCATCCCATCAAATGAAGAGTAGGACTCATGACGGACTCTTCAGATGAAATGACCACCAGTGATTCAACTGCCCCATGATCAGCTGGGCATTTTGTTTATGCAGGTTGGAATCTTATCCATGAGATCCATGAACCAAGAAATCATAGACTGCCATTATTCATTTCGTGTAAAACAAGTGTTTAATGACTCTGGAAGCCTTGGAATTTAAGGAACCTGCCTGGTTTCAGTTTGTAATTGGTTCTGAGCGTCAAACGAAAAACAAGAATCTCAATAAAAAATATCAAGTCATAGGATTTATAACATAATATATAATTAAAAGATACTTTAAAGCTTTCTTCACTCTCTTAAGATTCTTTAATTTTCCAAATATGACTGAGGAAACTACTTTAGGAAATATAAAGTCATCATTAATTGTTCCACTGGAACTTAATATTCACATTTCAACTTTTTGACTAAATACTTTTTTCTGAATTAACATTTTTAGAACACTGTTATAATCAAATCTTGTATGCCTCTTCCGAAATTGATCCAAAGATTGGAAACAAGTGGAATAGAAGTTTCATAATTGACATTGTCATTGTCTTTATAATGTATGCGTATATTTCATTTCCTGTTTCTGTTGTATTTAAAATATAGTTTGATGAAATTACAGAAACTGGGCGAGAAGGCAAAATGGAAAATGTATCAAATAAGCAAATGCATGAAGATAGAAAGAAATGAATTACAATAAATATTTTTGGTCTCTTTGTGCAATATTTGTAGTAATTTTGCTTTGTGCACCTTTGTGTGATCCTAAAAAGAACAATTTTGTACATACATTCGTCATAGATCTTTACATTTGAAAAATGTAATGATCTGAACTTAATGGAGGTTTTTAAATGGAGCTTTTAATATAAAGATATAACTGATAAAAAATATTAAATATTAATACTTCTCATGCATTGAGATTGCATATGCGTCAGTTTCTTATTTAAAGTCAGCTTACATATTTTTAAAGTTTCTAGATATTTGATTAGAACTTTAACAGTAGGTACTATAAAGGTATCATATAACAAAAAATAAGAAACACAATTTAAAATATTAAGAGATATATAATAGTGACAACTGTAACAAAAAAAATATATACTGCTACAAATTTGTACCAAAAACTTCTTTTACACATTGCAGGGTATCCATCACTAATGTTCCTTATTGAAATGTTTAATTTTAATAAAAAATAATTTATGCACGACGTGCGCGCTACTCATGAAAACCAATGCATGCACCAGAAATCGAAATTGGACAACCTACACAAATTACAATAATACATATATATGTAGAACGAGAAATGTAGGCAACTCTACTCTCTCTCTCTCTCTCTCTCTCTCTCTCTCTCTCTCTCTCTCTCTC